TAACATAAACAATGTTAGTTGCAGACAGATCAGTACATTGCTGAGCATATTTAATTTTGCTACGCTCAGTAATGTTATGCATCAATAGCAAACTCTGTTAGTTTCTGGCGGCCTGTGGTGAAATGCACCCATCGTAACTTGGCAGCTTTTGACAGTTTACACGCTGGTCCGCAATTGAACCTTCTCGTTATATTTACGTTCTCTGCATAGAGTGAGTGAGAAAAGTAGGAGCAGGATAAGCTGAGTATAATGGTAAGAGGTAAGTATATGCAGGTGGGTGAGTACCCTGCAAGAACGGGCTGATGGGTTTACCAATACACTCACACGAGGCAGCACTAACACATTTGACCATTTTTTGTTTATCTTTCTCTACTGAGTACAAACAAGTTGAAGAAGAATACAGTTGAACGGATTATCCGATTTGCTTTGTTCTTATTTTTGAGTAGAACGTCATTTTTTATCGTTTTCTCCGCAGCAGATAGAAGTGAAATATATATGATGAGGATCCTGGACAAGCTGTGATAATATATTGTCGATTAATTAACTACTTCATTTTTCATAACTCTTTACATTGCTTTTATTTAAGGGTACTCCTATTGTACAGAAAATTATGTTAATGTAACAGGTTGAGTAGAATGGACGCTTATCATCTTGCAGCAGCAGCACATCTCAAATATATTCAACAAAACTTTGCGAGGTACAACTGCATTAAAATGTCACTAATATTATGATTCGAAAATTAATTTTTAATATTACTTAGATGTCCTTATACTTCATAGTAGATGCGATTATGACGAGGCGTTTGTAGAGCTGAGGAGCTGCTATTAAAGATTTCTGTATATGCGATTTTGCTTACAATATTTTGCAGATTTGAATATATTGCTGTATTATTATTTCTTTGTTTGCTATATAAACCATTTACCTGATCTATGTAGAAATCTTGAAATAAAAATTGAATCTAATTAGTGATTGTATGTATGTAAAGTATGTAGGGAAAATTATTGTCAAGGCTGATTTCCTCCGGCATCAATGCTGTTGCTCAACTGTGTTCGGCTAGTACTACAGGAATGACAAAAAAAGCACGAGAAAACGAAGGGAGAATGACCTACACGTATACAAATGTAAACATCACATTTGTGATTTCGGCCTTGAGAAAGTTATGAACAAATCGTTCTAGGAGCTGACGGAAAATGTAGTCATGCATTCCTGACATATGTTGGCTCAAATGATCGGAAGCCTTCTTGTATGGTACACTACGCTCATTATTATTATTTGTCTCTCGGTTGCTCGGTTTTCAGGTGAGAATCTAATATGTCATTACCTAAATTTGCATTACCAAAGATTGAAGTATTCTCTGCAACTACTAATAGATTTGAATAGTATGCAAAAAAGAAATGAAAATTATGATTAAAAGCATTCTGCTCAAAGGAATTCGTATACTTTTTGACGAAATTGAAAATCTTCTCTGCCAGATTTCAAAGGCTCATTAATAGTGTCTTTTTTCTCTGGTCTGGTCTACGATATACGGATATTAAGTTGTAGAGCTTACATTTCCAAGAGGTATCATCATAAATGTTGTTTGTGTGAATCCACTATCACCACTTGAGCAATAATTTTCGTCAAAAAAGAAACTATTAATGCCATGGTTTTAGCTGATGTTGAACATTTTGTGTATCAAAATAAGTAAACAATTGTATTTAATAAAATAACAGTTGTATAAACAATTAGCTTAATTTATTTTCAATTTGTTACGCTCGAAATGAAGTCGAGTTTCTCTAAAAATGGTAAATATTTGCAATTGACCTTGACATGGGATTTTCAAAAATATAATTTTGATGTGTACTAACTAAAATTTTTATGATCAAAAGATACATACATATACACACATATATATACTAATACAAATTGCATAGGACGATTTGATTCGTTAGTTTATGGTAATATGTTTTTATTGCAGCTTTTATGAACTTTTTTCGATTATTACTGGATATTTAAAAAATTAGAGAAATGTTATGTTTTAAAGAAATGAATGGTGGGCATTAGCTTTCCTCAATTACTTTCTTTGTGGTATTACTCGTATAAATAACGTAAAGGTTTTGCTAAACATTCCTTGAAGATTTCTCAAATCCTTCGTTTTATTGTTAAATAAAAGTGCCAAGGCTTGTATTCCAGTCTGTAAAGAATTCAACCAACGTTTATTTCTTATTCAATAACGATCAATTTAAATTATTTATTTATAATAGGCCGTTTCTACCAAGTGTAAGCACTGTGTTTGCATGTTTTGAGTTTACGAGGACTGTCAAGTTTTCTACTTTGCGATTTTCGGCCAAACTCATACTCCAATTTGTTGGTTTGAGTATTGATATTTTTTCCAGCGAATGGAGGGACCTAAAATTTTAATTTAAATTAATTTTTTATTCAAATTAATTTTCTACAACTTTTGGATATTGGTATGACACCCGGACTTGGATTTGAACCCGGGCCTTTCGAATGGCACTATGTAATGCTATCCACTCGGTTACCGCGGCCGCCACATTACGAATATCACACAATCACACACTATTGACAGTATGTCAAACGGTGCTGCTTCATATTAATAAGAATGAAAAACAAAAAAGAAAAAGGACGTAAAATGGTCATTGTTGTCAGTCGCAAATAGTGAAAAACATGTAAACTCAATTCAAACACGCTGTGAAAAGTTAGTGAGTTTGTATTATGAGAAATATATATTGAATTTGGCAAGTGCTTAGAGTGGTGTTTGCGACTAAACAGGATAGCGACTGCAAACACAAAGTTAACACCGACGTTGCTTCGTAAACCCACTGTGTTGGTCGCTCTTTTATATACCTCATCAATTGCTTGTACTCAGTTCTAGAACTTTCTGGAATGCTCTTGAATAGTACAAAATATTTGATACTCGCGTTCTGGAATTTGCTTTGGTTATTTGCACCTCATTCTCAATTGTCATTCGCCACAATATAATTTTCGACCCACATATATGTATGTACATTTGTGAAAAGCTATCTGTGATTTGCATAAGAGTTTTGTCTGAGGTTCCCTCAGAGTTGTGCAGCGACAGATAAGCTAGAAGTAAACATTTATATGAGTAAGTACAGATAGAAAATAATTCTGGCGAGACGAAGCAAGGTGAAGCAAAAAGTTGCCGAACCCTCAACTCTTTTCGCTTCGTCAATTATCTAATGCAATACATGATATTTGAACTCAACAGAACCGTATAAAAAGCACTGATATATCTTTAATATTTGTTAATTTAAATTTTGTTTTCGAAATTTAAAAAATAATTAGCGCATTTTAGTTACTGAAGCGATCTCCAGCTGAGCTCCCCCTCTAATTTGTGTAATTTGTGGAATTTGTCTTGATGTTTTTCCAACAAATGGAGGGATCAACGTTATGTTATCTTATTCCAATATAGCCCATTATTAACAATTAACTCCAATATAATATTAATCTCGACATAAAATGTTTGTGTTAAGCACTTTTGATACTACTAGTGTGTAATGTGGGTGTAATGGAGTAATTTTTAAGCTCCGGCAGCACTACAATCAGCTGGAATCAATTTTTTGATTGTTTTTTTTTTTTTTAATTGTACATGTATAGTTGCAGGAAAGTGATGTCAAAAAATTATTGTTTTGTAAAAATAGTCCAAAGTATTTGCAAGTACTTAAAATTAAAATAACTTATGAGTAAGTTTGTGTACATTATTATTTAAGGAAATTACTGAAGTTGCTCTTCCAACAGATAAAAGTAATCATGTATTTCACTGTCGGTTGGCCAAAAGTGCTTAGCCTGGATTTTCCAGGTGAAAATTCGTCGATTAATCACATTTGTTGTGATGCTGTTAAAATATTGGTTGCAGCAATTGGTGACAATTTTATTGGCATTTGGTATGCGAACCCTTTAATTCCAATTGTGTTTTATCGACGTAATGAAGAATCCATTGCTCAAGTGGGTACAAATAAAACTATTATTTGGAAGCCAGATTCTCGACAATTAGCTATCCTTACTAGTTTGGGAGTACTCATTTTATACCACATTGAATTTGATGCTGATGGAAATGGAATCCTAGCTCAGATAGATCCGCCAACTTCAAATTTGAAAAGGGATTCGGCGGAGCTTTTCATAAAAGAAAACATTCCAAAGCTTAGTCTGCGAGAACAGAGTTCTATTAAATTAGATGCGCCGATCACAACAATTTGCTGCATCAGCCTTACAGAATTATTGATTGCAACAGATCAATGTGACCTTTTACGCGTTCAATGGACTGATTTGGATGCAGATACGGTTGGCGAAAGTGGAGAACTAGCTTTAGCACTTCATGCGTCTATTAACCTACGCAATATTCCCTTCTACGTTAATAGGAATTGTAATTTAAAAAGCATTCCTCCACTTGGTGATAATTCGTATGTAGCTGCCCTGGAATATTCTCCATTTATTGGAGGTTGCGCTGCGATTTTCAGCGATAACCGTGCAGCCTTTTTGATCGCAATGCATTTGCGTTTCGAACCACAAAACATGCATGGATTCTGGGTTCCGGACGTTGAAGATGCTACAGTTTGTAGTGTCAATCACAAATTTCGGTTATTGGCTTACGGACGAAAAAACTCGGATGTGGTTGTCTATGCCATTGAAGATACAACCGGTGGTTTAGAATTCTCTCATAGATTATCTCTAAATTCAAGTGTTATACCAGGATCTTTGGGTGAAGTGCGCGAATTAAAATGGAGTCCTGATGGCTGTGTACTAGTCGTTGCATGGGAAAAAGGAGGAATATCTTTGTGGAGTACTTTTGGATCTTTGTTAATGTCATCACTAAGCTGGGATTTTGGATTGCATGTCGATTTAATGCATCACAATCCCTTACAGGTCGGAAAGCTAGAATGGTCCACTGAAGGATACCACCTGTTTATGACATGCAAAAAGAAATTAGGAGAATCATGTACTGAAAATAATAATGATATTTACAAAGTTTTACAACTAAATTTTGTTAAAAGTACACTGTCTATGAATCCCTGCATGGCTTCACATTCGCATCTTCTTTTACAAGGTGAGAGTATTTGAAATACAATTTTATAATCTTGAATTTATTATTTTCTTTTTACTTTAGGGGATGACACATTATATATTAATCAAGGAGATAATCTCGAAAAAATTTATTTTGGCAACAAATTTTCGTTCCCCAACAATAGCTCAGAAGCAACAAAAGTTGATTGCAACCTAGATGATAGTATTGATGTAAAAAAATCTGTCGACATTTCAAGCATTCTCTCAGAAAGCAAGCTATGGAACATGATACAACTTCCTTTGACTTACGCATCAAGTAATTGGCCCGTCCGATATTCAGCAATTAATGCGGAGGGCACCCATTTGGCAGTCGCTGGCAGAACCGGATTAGCGCATTACTCTATGCTAACTAAAAAATGGAAACTATTTGGCAATGAGTCACAAGAAAAAGATTTCGTTGTTTCAGGAGGATTAATTTGGTGGAAAGGTTTTATTGTAATGGGATGTTATTCTTTGCTGGATCGCACCGATGAAATACGTTGCTATCCAGAAGAATGTAAATTAGATAATCAATATGGCAATAAGATTCAAGTTCGCGCCCCTGTTATCTCACTTAACATGTTTCGAGATCAGCTAATCGCACTAACTGCTGATGGTATTGTCAGCCTCTTTGAGTTAAAAAAACTCGACGCCTATTCATTAAGTGTCAACTGCGCCTATGAAGTAGATGTGAAAAGCATTTGCATACATCCCGCATGCATCGTTTCGCTCACTGTTACAAATCTCCGAAATGATTTAACTGCGAAGACAGCATCCACTTCAAGCGATACCGCCGAGACTATAATTGTTAATGTTTGTGGTCGAATTTTAATGATACAACGTGATTCCCGCAACAGTGTTATAAATTCATTGATGGCTTCGTGTCTGGCGTCTTGCGTTGAGTGCTTTTGGCTCTCTAATGCTTTGGAAAAGAGTCCGATGCGGGATTGCTTATGGCTGTATTCTGGTGCGCATGGCATGCGGGTATGGCTGCCTATTTTGCCGCCTTCAAATGAGAAAATACACGAAGCGCCGCACCGTTTACATACGTTCATGTCGAAGCGAATTATGCTATCCTTCCCGCTGAAGTTATATCCATTGGTAATCTTGTTTGATAATGTGATTGTATTGGGTGTTGAGAACGAAACCACGCTATATACTAGTGAAGCGAGCTCACATTTTGCACTACCATTTTGTTTGTTGGAGCGTAAATCCCAAGTATATCTACATAAAATACTGCGCCAGCTTATCAAGAGGAATCTTGGCTATAGTGCTTGGGAAATAGCGAAATCATGTCGGTCTTTGCCTTATTTTCCGCATTCTCTTGAATTGTTACTACATGAAGTACTCGAGGAAGAAGCATTGAGCAAAGATCCAATTCCAGATGCTTTATTGCCCAGTATTCTTGACTTTATACGCGAATTTCCTGTGTACCTTCAAACAATTGTTCAATGTGCCAGAAAAACCGAAATTGCGTTGTGGCCATATTTGTTCTCAATGGCCGGCAAACCGAAGGACTTATTTCAACAGTGTCTGCAATCAGAGGAGTTGGAAACTGCCGCTAGTTTTTTGATTATTCTTCAAAACTTGGAGCCTTCGATTATTAGCAAGCAATATGCTACACTGTTACTGGATATCGCATTACAAAACCGTAAATGGGAACTTGCAAAGGATTTAATACGTTTCCTCAAAGCTATCGATCCCAATGAAATAGATTCACCACGCTCTTCTATGGTGGTAAACATGAAGATCGCACCACCTTCACAAACACAATCACAAGTCAATCAAAACGCCGAAGTTTTCAACATGATACTAGGACCTATTGCACGGGAGCGTAGCTTCTCAACAACCGTTACCTCAAATTTGCCGAAAGAGAAAAAAGATAAACAAACTCTCCCAACAAATTCATTAAACTCCAATACATCGACCTTAACTGGAGCTCTAAATGAGACATCAGCGTCATCTCTTCCAAGTAACGGCGGAGCTGCGGTGGTGCGTCGCAAAATGGAGCGGAGTAATTCCACGAGGGATCGCAAAGAAATATTTTGTATTGAAACCATACTCCAAAATCATGCTCGAAAGTTACTGCAAAACCACAAGTTAATCGAATTGGGTTATATGAGTGCGTTTCTTGATTTTCATTTGGTAACGTGGTTGTCGCAAGAAATAGATCGCTCGGCGAAACTTGATGACTACGTTGAAGCACTCAACTGTCTGCATGAGGAACTCAAACTACCGCCGGCACTTTTGCATACCACATCAGAGGATACTGAACTGTCGTTAGGGACAGACTATACACAATTGAAAAAACACTTTGCGATAGACAACCAGCATTCCCTTTTGCTGCGCCCCTCTAGTCATACTTCGGAGTCGGGCTACTTCAGTTTGGCTCTAATGGATACGCCAACAAGTATGAACAATGGGAACACGATACAAAACAACATTACGGCTATTAAGGAGCATGAGGAGCTTCGATATAAAAGTGCACAGATGAATGAATTTGTAAAGTCAAGATCGAATTCTCAAATCTCATTCGATCATATCCGATGCCGTCCATCTATTGCTTTGCAGGATGAAGTGCCAAACATATATTCGGTAAATTTTGATAACGCGTCAACAAATGAGAATAACTTGAGGATATTACCAGAAAAATTGAGTATTAAAATTCGGTATTTGCTTCAATTGTTCATTGAGGCGAACTGCATTGACTATGCTTTGGTGCTTTCGATCTTGCTTCATGACGCGGCATCTGTTGGCCGAATTGTCAACGTAATGATTCGTTCGGAGTCGGTTGCGATTTGTCAAAGAATAGATGCGGCGCTGAAACGTTTGACACAGTGGTCTTTTGACAGAGACTCTATATACCGCCCATTTATGATATCGCTGCAGCCGCATATATATCATCTCGACCAATATATTATATCAGCGGCCATTAAATTCCCAATGCATCACAATGTTGAGGACACTGACTTATCTTTGGGAGTTCTACCCGAAAACAAAGTGGATGGCTCAAATAATATGGCTCAAACGACGCATACCGGCAATATCAGCTCGGATTGGGGCTTGGAAAACCAAGCTTCTGAAGGTTCTGCTATTGATCCTGGTGATGCATCAAATAAAGCAGGCAATAGTAACTTCAGGCGGTTGTCCAGAGAACAATCAGGACGTACTGAAGCAGGTGCATGCCGGATTATGTAATTAAAGAATGCATTCCCAAAAAGTGTCAATTACATGCAAACACAGATACATATGATTCATACTCACTCATATTATTTTTAAACGAACATCCGTACATAGATAGATGTTCGTGTGTTTAAAGTTGAATTTGAAAGCAATATATGCAAATATTTCATTATTTACAATTATTTAGGAAAATTTAATAAAAAAAAAATACTAACGATAACCGTTAAATATTAGATATATACTTTTTATTAATAAAATATTAAGAAAAGATGATTTTAATGTAACTTTTAAACAAAATAACAAAACATTTGTTTTTACTCTAAAAAAAACGGAATTAGAATAGAACCATTCCGAAGTCTTTATACATTTATGACGGTTTAAAATTTATGGTATTTCATTCATTCATTTTCATATCTGAAAAATTGGTTCGAGGGAGCAATTCGATGAAGTTTTCTGATTTCGTTGATATTCGGTTTATTTGTATATTCGTGTGTAGAATACAAAATTTCATGCTCTTAGATCCTCTTTTTACGGGATTTTAAACCAAAACCTCAAACATGAGAAAATGTATTGCGTAGAGCTATATGTACTCCTCGGATTTCGAAAAGCTTAACCTCCAATGTGTAATTCATGAGCGATCCAAAAACTTATAAATGCTGTGGTAGACCGATGTGATGAGTCCGACATATGATCGCTTAGATGCACTAGTGTATCAGCTAACCAAAGTTGATTGGAATACCTCGAAAACAAAGACGGACGGATAGACGGACATGGCTAAATCAACTCAACTCGTTATTCTGCCGTGATTGGTTTATTTTAGTATCATTTCATGTATATAATGTATAAAAACTGAGAAATTATCGGTCGAGCTCCTCCTCCCCCAGGCCTTGCGAAGGGCAGTATACAATGCTAACCATTCGGCAATTGACCCAAACAGGGTTAGAAAGCTGAACGGGTGTCTGGTTTCATAAAATATCTCAGACTTACCACAACACAGTGCGCATAATCCACCGTTGTGGAAGTCGACCTCCTTTGGCCAACTGAATCGACAACTCTTTGTCTTTGGTACCAAATTTAGTACGTACGACCGAAGACTCAGGAAAGTTTTGTTGTGTGTTTTTTGTGGGTTTGGCAAGAAAGCAACCGCTCAGAACGAGGGCAACAGGAGAGGAATTTTGCTTTCTGAGGACAACGCATACATACACGATTGGTTGGGGGATTATTATTCATCCACATTATAGTCCGGATCCTGCACCAAGTGATTACCATCTGTTCCTGTGAGTGGCGAATAGTTCGGCTGGTACGAAATTGACCTCAAAAGAAGTCTATGAAAATCGATTGTCCCAATTTCTGCTAATAGGGGAAGGAATGCATAATGGCATTACCTTCAACAAAACTTTCAATTTAAAACAAGAATAGTGGATTACTTTTTGCTGGTCCAATATGGCGCTCGTAGTACCCGAGCGGTTAGCATTGCGCACTGCCATTCGGGAGGTCCGAGTTCAAATTCTGGTAAGACCAATGTACTTTTCTATATCTGCTCCATCGAAAACCTTAAAAGTTGGAGTTACAAAAAGTGTGATGCTTGTCGATAATTTCTGTTCAGCCTGTGTAAGTTTTGCTGATTAACGAATATGTCGACAATGGATTTAGTGGTTTTAAAAGGTTCTCACTTCCTACAGACAACCGATAAGACTTTATATGCAATATTTGTGTAGAATTATCCCAATATAATATAGTCACACCCTGGGTCTCTTAACTATCAGATGGGACCAATCATTTAACCATTTTATCATGCCTCAGAATGGTAAAAAACTACTCCAGTCTTTTTTCTGCTATTTGCAAATGGATCGCGCTTCCTTCTTTAACTCTAGACGATTAGGTACAAAAAGTGAAGATTTAGTTTGTTCTTATATGTATACACATTCATCTATCTATATTAAATACGTGTATGAAAGGAGCTACGACATGACCTTCCGTGAGTCGTGTCATGTTATTCTTGTCATGTTATATTTGTTTAGCATTTTTTGGCATTCATCAAAGAAAGATTTACGCCTAAATAACGTTTACAAAATGTTCAACTTTATTACGAAAATACACGCTGTTTCGCACGCTTCCCTCAACTTTTGGTCAACGTAATCGGCCTACTGAGCCTCCTATCCCAACATCATCCCCCGTTTTGAGAACCAGCATTCATTATTGGATAATACTTGGCCGAATAGACCATGCCCAGCAAGCAGTGAAGAATATATATCGGCCGTAGATGGAAATGTAACCGTGGAGAGTCGATTCGCCGCCGTTCGCAGTAACTCGGACTTAAGTATGCAAATCAGGCAGAGTATTTGGCGTATTTTACGTCGTGCAAGAACGGAAGGCATTCCAACTTCACAAGCTTTGTTCTATTGGCTCTTGAAAAGTTCTAAGAAGATCCGACATTTTCGAGCCAAATTTTGTTCAGTGATTAGGCCTATTTCAGGTCCAATAGATATTCAAACAAGCGAAATTGCCCCAATTGGGACGAAGAGTAACTTGAAGAGATTCAAGAGCTACAACGTCATCCTGAAAAAGCCACGGTTTGGTGTCACCCATCCATATTTCTTCAAAAATTATGCAGGTGAGAATATAACCGTCAATGGGGACTGTTATCGCGCCATAATAACCAACTATTTGATGGCTGAAATTGAAGCTAGTGATCTCGGCCACATTGGATTTCATTTAGTTATTGGGAGAACACTTTGGGCCGGTCGATTGGTGACCAAGATCGTGTGACTTTTATCTGTGGGGATATGGAGCAAAACAACACGCGAGTAATTCGCCAGGCACCAGTCGAAATTCTCGAACGAGTCACGTAAGCATCTGAGACGTAGCCGCGGCCAATATTTGATAGAGATAATCTTCAAAAAAAAAAAAAAAAAATCCAAAGAATGTTCTTTCGAATCATCATAATAATGAACATTCCCCATTAAATTTGAATTTCTTGTGTTTTTTTCTTTAGAAAATTAGGGAACCTCGAAATGGAGCACCCTTCACATTTCTTCAATAATAGCATTAAAGCTTATCTAATTTCTGTGTGGAAATATATATTTTCAAATCTTAAAATAAAATATAAAATTAATTCCGATGTAGTAAGTTTAATCCAGCATCCAGCGGAATCGGGCACGAACTTATGCACTCATCCAATACAAATTTTCAAGGTTTGGAGGTGCCCGACAGGAGGTTGAAGCCATTGTAAGAGTGTAACAATCTTTGAGATCATATCAAATATCTTTGACGTCATTTCAAAATATTTGAGGTGTTGTTTTCGCATCTTTAACCCCCGTTCCGAGTCAAGTACCACTACCCACAAGTCTTTGTCATGTCGTCATTCTTACCTAAATTGTTGACGTGGGCAGACAGTCTTTCAGGCTTTACAAAATTACGTATGTCTGGCAGCAGTGGGATTTTGCTCTATATCAATAAAAAAATATTTACACAGCAGGTTTTTTGTGACATCAAACCATTTAGTTACAGAGAAAAAATACAAAAAACTACACTTGGAAAAATTCTATTGCTCAACATACGCTAAATACTAGGGATTCTTGCAAATATTTGACTTTTGGTAATCTTAAACTCTATTTCCCCTTAATAAGGCATTCCTATTAAGGAAATGTCTTGATGAAATCTCTCACATTTTTCGTCACTAACAGCACCCAAATCAAACCCGGAAGAAATCCAAGTGGACCCTAATTTCATTTATATTTTTAATAACAAAGCTTTATGTAACAGTATTTGTTAATTTATTAATTCTCTATGATTTTCGGAAGTAAGTTTTCTAGGATAACGTTTACAAAATTTTTTACCTGGTCAGTAAGTTTTAAATATCAAATATTTCCTCTTTTAGTTGGCGGTGCATAATTTGGTTTCTTATCCTGAGATACCGTATCGTGCTGATTTAAGGCGAATTCTTCACTAGAATCTGGGTTTTCTGATCGATTTGAGGGTTTTGGCAGTCGGAGGACGGCACTATGTAGAAGAACCATTATATTACTACAATATTATTAAGCGAATACAAGTTTGCATAGTATATAGTGTATTTAGACTTGGTTGTAACAACTCTTGTTTGAATAAAAAAAAAAATCACGACTACGTTATTTTTTGGTCTCGTCAAATCATTGGTGTAGCAAATGCCAAATGTTTACGTTGCTGTTTAGCCCAACATACGCTCCACAAAATTTATCCGATACCGTAAAAATCAAAATAGTCTATCATTTTTCAATTAACGGTTAAAGCCACTCTAGAGGTTGAAAAATATATCAATTTTTTTAAATTTATTGTAGAAAATGGGAATGGATTTTCTATTTAATCATTTTATTAAACATGCATAGTATAGAAAATATTCTTTAAATATTATTTTGTTACAAAATGTGGGGGAGGGAATCCAATATTGAATCCATGTGTTTTTTTTGTGAAAGACGCCCACGGGAGGACCTATTTTTTCTAAGGGATGAGATCTAGACCAGAAGAGCAAATAGTTTTATAATCTACAAACTATGGTCTTTGGATATGGATTTATTTTTTGACTAATTTTTGTGAAATCGACATCCCTTTGTTTTTAAAATATTGGTTTTTGACTATAAAATACGCATTATTATTATAATTAATAACAAAAAAGTTTAAATTTAAACGAAAAACGCCTTAGTACTTTCAAAAAAATGTATTTGTGAAGCCATCATCAAAACTTCAGATAAATCGCTGCAAATGAATCCGAATAATCTGTCCTCCCAGTTTGAAAAATGCTCTGAGGGGCTGCAGAACAAAAGTTAAATTATTTGAAATACTTTGTTTACTTCAAACCCAATTGCATATCATTTCTAGGACCCAAAGGTGCCGCGTGAGCAAAAACAAATAAAAAATTGCGTTTTCCAAACTCCTAGAGTGGCTTTACCCCTTCATGATGCAAAATTTCGAAGTGGGAATTAAAGGCTGACTCTCGGGCTTGATCGAGCAGCTCGTGGCATATTTACGAACTAATTAACGCAAATACTCGTATGACAAGTTAATTGAACGCAGTAGTAGTCTCCTAAATGAAGTTATTCAAACAAAGGCAATAATATAAGTTCAAAATTTAATATGTAAGCGACATAAAAAAATGAAAGGGATTGAAACAAAATAATTATACATTAGGTCTGTTCGAACAAAAATTGGCCATCACCAGCCATCAACGACTTGAAAGAGCGTAGGCAAGAATACACTCTGAAAGGCAAAATTTCCAAAAAAGTAAACGAACGCAAAATTATCCATCACTATACCGACAGCACAAACATCAGCTCTTTTTTACTTTTTGATTTTTCGCTTTATGAAAATTAAAATAAAAATTTAATTGAAAATGACCAAAAGTAGTAAGCTGGATGTGAAATGCTTGTTTATAAAATTATACTTATTACAAAAGAAAATGAAAAATTAATTTGGATGCTTTGTTAATTATCACTGAAACTCGAGTAATTCATTACTCTTTACACACTAAGTTTCTGTAAGAGTTTCCAGTTGGAAGTTTGTCATGTTCTCAATAATCATCGCCAAAACTTTCTGGTACACTTTCCATATTAAAATCGATTTCATCTTCATTTGAGATATTGTGCAAAACACAACAAGCGCGCAATTTCCACTAATCCAACTTTTTATTGAAAAATATTTCTTTCCTCGTTAGATCACCATTGTTCATATATGTTTAATCTCCCAATTAATAGTAGTCTAAAAATTATAATAATAAACATTTTTAATATTATTAAAACAATGCATCTCCACAATTCAACGGTAATTTATGATAAAATGGAAATTTTTTAAAAATCGTTTTTTTTTTGCTTTAACGATGCTTTATAGTCATAAAAAATGATATGACATTAAACTCAGAATGAAACAATCATTTTGACTGATTGAAGGTGTATATTGAAAGCCCACCTCCGGCTCGTCTAACTTATATGTGAAACTTTAAACGCGTTTTTCTCGAAACACTTTTTTTTTGAATTGGCGTGACAAATAACTTGTACAATTTTGATCCGATTGACATCATTTTGACATCATGTTTATTATTGCTTTCCGCAAGAAAGTACGTAGGGGATTTTCGATTAATCAAGTACTTTTTTTGTTATGACTAGTTTATTACTGAATTATTGACTAAAAATGCACGTTTTCTGTTCAAATCCCTATAATTTCCATAAAAATCAATATTTTTGCAATCCCCTACGTACATCTATAGCTATTGTCATGCAGATTAACGACATTTTTTTGTTTTGTTCCAGGACAAGAATTGTAGATGCAAAATGTCACGCCGTGGGGCGCTTTAGAAAAATGGATGAAAAAGAGATCAGAAATATCGGCCATTTTGTGCCGGAAAAAAAATTAAAAAAAAAAATAGTTTCCAAAAGCTTCATATCCGAACTTCATCGGTATGTGATTATTTTCATGAATAAATAATAGTTCCATACAAAAAAAAATATTACATTTGCACATGGTTTTTTACCCGCTACTGTGGCCATACCCCTTAATAAATTTGTTCTTTTCATTGCAGATACCTTGCACGCATATTGATCAATATAGTCGTATATAGTCTACTACGATATGGGTCCCGTCTGTGTACCCTAGAGCGTTGGAAAAGAAATATTTGGGCTCAAACAACTCAAAAACATAGTAACTCTATTTATTATCGCGCAAATTGGGGATAGCTACAAGTCAAAGCTGTTAGCTAGATCTCGAAAATTACATGATTCATAGACAGCGATCAACAAAAAATCAAAAGCTACAATTTTCCAGAAATTCATTAATCGGAACGTAACTGTTCGTGATAATCGCACACTCGGGCAATCAAAAAAATATCGGGATACTCTAAAACGGCTGCAAAATTCTTTTTCCTTGTGAGATGGAATTATTTGTTCAAAATAAAATTTAACACTATTGCGCTTGCTGTTTTCAAGCAGTAGCGTAAATTTTCAGGTATTATCATATCATGGGAGGAAATCCGTCCACTGCAAGTAGAATATTATCCATAACCGTAGCTGAAATAAGAGATTTATCCGTTACTAACAGGCCTATTCTGTCGAGGTAACAAAATTTACCTGGGCATTCAAATTTACCATTCAATAAATTTTGTTACTATTTCGTATTCCGAGCTCACTGTTACCCTGTAAATTTTGTCATCAGCGAAATAGGAGATAAAAAAATATCTGCTGTTTGATTTTGTGTTGTAAATTTGAGAAAAAATAAAAAACTAAAATGAGTAGGCATATTTTAGGCCTGGAATTCATTGAAGATAAAGAAAAAAGTGCAAAAAGCCGTATTTTAAGAAGTTTTCGAGACTAAAGAATAGCAATTTAATTTGTAAGATGACGTTTTCATTCAGCTTTTTTTGTTGTCCAGGCATATTTTCCATAATTATTCAAATATTTATGATTTAATAAACAAATTAATAAAACTTTTTAATTTTATTGTGCACCGTCTTCCATTGAGAATATTTTTCTTTTTACTTTATCAACTGGCAAATGTAATTTGACATGGACGAAAAAAGCAGTGCTGCCAAATTTTTTTCAAACATTGTAATCAGTTCGCCAGAATACCAAATTTAATTTCGGGTGTTAAAAAAAAGTAACAAAATTTACTTTACCGGTAACAGTGAGAATAGGCCTGTAAATGGCGGCTTTGATAATTTACTTACTATTTCATTTATATATTTGCTTTTTTCCTTTTTAATTGTTTTTTTTTTATTTATATATTTACATACATACATGTGCATCTTTTTGTCATGGATAATTTTTACAAGTAAGAATTTTTCCATCACTAAATTAGAGTCTCTCTTGCAGGAAAGCGCTCCCTTGCTCTCTCAAATTTCGGTTGCTGGCTAATTTTTAAGTGTAGACGAACGCCATTTGACAACAATTTTGAATAATTTGTAATAGTTCGAAGGCGGCGTAAAATAAGCTGTAGGTCCCATCAATTGTTGGAAAAAAATCAAGACGCACACCACAAATCCGAGGAGTAGCTCGGCCGCCAATTGCATTAACAGTTACAAAGTTCCAAACATTTTTGCATATGAGTACCTATGTGCATACATAATTACATGAGCAGAGGCTTTGCAGCAATCAGCTCTATATTGTTGTCAACAAAAAAGTTAGAATCATTATGCAAATAGATGCCGAGTGAATAAGGCATCATCCAATCCTTAGGGATTAATATACTATGTAAGTATGTATTACAAAAGTATGTTCACAGTCCATATGATAATAACTACTGCAACTCCTAAGAATACTCTTTAAATGCTGTCTAACTCTAACTATTGAATGTTAAATGCAGGTATTGTGAAAATATCAATGTTCATACATATCGCATCACGTCACCTGACAACAATATTGGTATTCGAAGCATGGGAGAAGCACCTTAGAACTTTAGCTGCATCGGTGAATGACAATGGCAATGGTAAGTAGTCGCCTGTACGCCCTGCGACGTAGTAATATTATATGGATTTTGTAGTAACCGCACAGAAAAGTTCATCCATGCAGTGGAATTTTCGCTCACAAGCATGTACTTTTCTACTACAATACATATATACATACATATGTAAGCGTAGAGTTCGTGCAAGAGTTGTGCTGGAAGGCAGGTAAGCTTAAAACTTTTTGATCCCAAAGTGCATTCATCAACCAACTTTTTTATGCTATACATACTGTATATCCTTTGTCCTGTCGTTCGGTGTGATCGTTTAGTGTACTCCGCGTGAAACATTTTGTAAGCAGTGATGGTATTACATACATAAATGTATTTACAATACATAAGCATATGCATAGTTATGTACAAGCATATGTATATATATATACATATGTACGTTAGACGTTTTTTCGTCATATTCTGACATTACTGCCATCTCTGTCTAACACATGAACTTTTAGCAGATTCCTCAAATAATTTTTGGCAACCAGGATGTATGATAAGCAGGTAAAAAGTAGTTTCACTTCCTATGTCACGGTAAAATTTATAAAATTTTTAATTAACGTAAAAGTTTTGCATAGCTTCATTATGCTGTCGCAAGATAAAGTATGCTGAAAATTCAATAGCAAGAGTAACAAATCGATTGAGGTCTTTTCCATCAGCTTGACAACAGAAAGTTTTATTTCTGAATATCACATAACAATACATGTGTACGTATACATATGTACAAGCATGAATACTCGGTGTACATAGTTTAAGAGAAAGACACGAAGGGATTGTTTATTAAATTCCATGTGAAAATTACTTGATTTCGTACATTTATTTTGGTCCAGAAAAATTAATAGAATCCATCGATGTCCATCTACTCATAACACTGATGAAAAAAAAATCTCAATTTCTGTCGGCATCGGGAAAAAAAGTTCATAGCTCAGTAAAAAGTAAAGTTTCAGTTGCGATTCGATTTTTGCGTGAACCCGCATATCGGTAGAAATCTGTTCCTACCTGCAATCCAGCACATCCTATATATAATATTGTAGATGGTTTTAAATATATAAAAGAAAATTTGCAATAACGGTCATCCCTTGGCGCGGAGTCTCAATCCCCCCGAGTGAATTTCTTCTTACAATTAAAAGCTCCTCATAAAAATACCATAAGCCGTTCCGAAACGAATAAGAATGAACTGTAGGATCCTGCATTTGTTGGAAAAGGATTAACAGCATACCGCAAATGGGTTATGAAGTGCAAGATATCTACATATATATACATATATATAATACTTTGTCTTGAATGTTTGACGGTTCAACCCATAACCTAAACCACTGTTCGCAGAGACTTGCAACTTGGAGGGTATGTTCTGGATGTGACCTTTGCACCTAATAAGAAACGAATTTCCGGCAAATAGACATGGGGTCGATAAATTCGAAAAAATGGAGTTTATTTTTGATTCATTTGATTTACATGAAATTTGGTGCACAGATAACTCTTTTCTCGGTTTTAATTAATATGTGGAATATATGTATGTAGGAGGCTGTTTGCTAGAGTTAATGTGTGTGGAGAGATCTGTTTGGAGAAATCTCGATCTGCCTGGTATCTGGAGCATAGTAGTCTTAAGTTATAATAAATGAAACAATAATAAAAACCTTATAAAAAGGTAGGACGTGGGTAACCTTTATTTTATCTATAAACTTACGTGCCACATTACAATAATGTAATAGCAGTTATACTCTCGTGTAATATAAGTTCTTTCGGACTTGGGATGAAATTGACCCGTGCCGTTCGATACCGCTTCGGTCAAGACGACCTTTTCGTGCACTTTTTCACATTCTTTTACAGGAGTGTACAACTGTTGGCGTATGATGAGATGATATGATCTCATTGGTTTCAACAGCTTTCAATTATATACATATGTATATATATATACATTTATTTAATTCTGTCACTATAAGGCATAAGAGCGTGAGCAAATGCAATGAGAAAAAGAACAAATTTTTAGCCACGCTGTTAGTTCTGCTTTCCTCAGACTGGATGAAGAAGCGTGGGCAAGTTCTCTTTCAACAAACAAAGACCAAAATTGTTTAAATCTCTCGTTATTTCCGTCTGCAGTGTCAGTAAAAAAGTTTTGTGAAAGATTTATGAAATGTACGTGTCGTATATATTCGATTTACTTGATTTAACAGGAAGACTACTCCACGGGAAATTGACCAGGGACTGACCTACTAGAAAATAGAATTTTATTAATAATTCCTCTTGCTAGCATTTAATTTTGCGAAGTGGCTCTTTTTTTTATTATAAGTATGCAGCTACGAGCTTATACGACCAACATGAGTGTGAATAAGCACGAACCGAATGGTGCGTTTGGCTCACCTCGAGACCTCTAATGCCAATATAATTTGAGAAGTAACTCCCACATACAAGTAGGTAGATAAATCAATCTAAATGAACATAAAACTTACGTTCGTTTGTAAGAATCCGCATATTTCGGAAAATTACCGTCCGACCGAAATCTTTACACAACAATACTGCCTGTCATTACTCGATCAATACCAGTGGACGAGATAATGCTTGCTTAAAATATTGAACGTAGAGTGACATGTACAACCCCTACACCTAACCTCCAATATATGTGTCAGACTCCAAAATGTTCTATCGGGAGATATGTTTTCTAGGTTTGGTAGAACAAATAACCTTTTTATTTGAATGTACGATGGTAAACCTAAAAATGTTGCATATCCAAGCAATTGAATAAATAATATTATGATGACGACATATCGAATGATTCATTTACCATACATTGAGTATGTGCCACAACGAAGCGTTCCAGCGTTTTGCTGTTGTTATATAATTTCCTCATAAAATCCATTGGTCGATCGAAGGCGAATAAACTGAAGGTCTCTCCATTTGTTGGTAAAAACATCAAGTCACGCTCGGCCGAAAGTCGCTTCAGTGGCTACAAAGCGGCAATTCTTTCTTTATGTGATGTGATGCCGATCAAATAACGGAGAGCTATGCAAAATGATTTCGTTCTTTTTTTATTCCAGAATAATGCAAGATTTATCTTGTGTTTCAGCAAAACTTTTTCTCTCAAATTGTTTAAATCTGCTTCCAAAGGAGCCGTTTCCAAAAAACTCTGTCGTTTCTGAGTTTGAATTGAAATATCTATACCAAGCGACTACTTGAACACACCTATGTACATATATACGAGTATACTCATCATTACGTATTTAAACGTTGTTTATATCCCTTTGTTTAGAACGTCTGTTGGTGACATTGCTTTTGGCACCACACTTGCTATTTGCTCAAAAATCATAATGTATGACAAAGTATGGGGATGCAGATGTAAATAAACATACGAGTATTTATGAGGGGATTAACAAAAGTTCGGTAAGTTGACCAGAAAAAACAGTACAAAATAATTTTGGTATTTATTCGTTATCTTTGTCCTTTTCTTAAGACTATAGATCCACTTCTGAAAACAGTATTTCCCCGATCCCAGAGATCGCATAAAATTACTCGTTATTTCAGAAGTGTGGGGATGGCGCGTTGTCATGATGTAAAAAGTAGCACCGCAAATCTTTTGATATGCACCCTTCGGTGTACGATTTTGCCGTTACCATCTGACCCCTTTCCAATGAAAAAGCAGCTACGATATTAAATCGGGTGAAGTAAACTAAACGTCAATGTTGACAGTCATAACTTTGAAGTCGTAGATAATTTGGAGTGAGTAGGCAATTGAAAAGTAAAGTCCTCTCCCGACGAAAAAAAACCAAACTCTAAAAGTCGCTCAGCTAGATGACAACATCTGATGAGGCGGCGTTAGGAGTTTTCAAGGGAAAGGTTTTGCGTCAGATTTCAGGTCCTTTGTGCGTTGATGAGCTGTACGAGTTGAGAACGGTGACATTGATTGGCTAGGTCAGGTAGTCCGGATGGATGCGAATACTACTTTGAAAGTTTTCGATGCATTACCTGGCGGCGGAAGCAGATGAAGAGGTGACCTCATTGGAAAGACCAGGTAAGAAAAGGCCTGGCTCTACTTGGTATTTCCAATTGGCGCAAACAGCAAAAAGAAGAAACAAATGGTGCAATGTTGTCTACGCCAGTAAAGTAAGTAAGAAATTAACTGACATCATTAATATTGCTGTTGCTTCTGTTGAGCTTCATACCATGGACTGCTGTGGTTCATGGGTCGTACTTATCGTACTTATAGGACGAAGTAATGACTTTGCTAAAGTTGCTAGATTGACCCTATTCGAATTTGTTTAGGAAAAATTGAGCAGAATGCACTCGAGCCTTTTTTAGGCCTCATTTAAAATTCTTGGTAGATTGGTAGATTTCTTCGTGCATTCCAGATGATTACTTAATATTCGCGACACATCCAAAGCGTTCAATCCAAATTCATTAGGCATCATTTCTTGTGTCCATCGTAAGTCTTCGTCAATATTGACTTCTCCAGAGCTATAGTGTCGTCATCAGTGGAAGATTTTGGTCGACCTTCTCGGCCTAGCATTTAAAGACAGTGCAATCGCTCCATATGCAATTTGGCATTCTCTGAATATTTGTATTGGCTGTAAATCACGCCGAAACCCGAATAGAATCACATGACGAATTTCCGTTTGCGTTTGTCATGGAATTTCGTCTGACCTGACCTCAGTTATGTTGCATTTTCTCGTTTTCATTTTAGCTGATCTTTCTAAAATTTGAAAGAAATACTAATAAAGTAATTGCAAGGGATTTTTAGATTTAACAAAAACAAATTGAATTTAACCAACTGATCGAACTGTTGTTAATCTCCTCGTATGTAGAATTATTACCTTGCAGGGAAAGAATTTTAGTTTTGAATTGTTGCCGTTCAGCTAACGGTAGTATTTAAATTTTAAAGGTATAATATTATATGTATAAATAAAAAACTTTGTCTTGAATAACTGGCGGATAAACGCACAGCCTATACCACTGATCGTAAGTAATTGAAATTAACGTCGGGAATACTTTTGCTTAGCGGAAGTGGGCCTTGTTTTCCTTAATTCATGGAACATAGATGGTTTTTTGCCTATGCCATTGCCTGACGGATTTTTTTTAGGGACTAATTCATCCGAAGGCATCATATTTCTGGTTCGATTTGCAACAGGGAAATTCGGCCTATTATTAGCGGCATTATATAGTAAGTTGTAATAAATTAAGTACCGTTAAAACCATATAAAAATCTTATTAGAAATATCATAACATTCCATGTGGAGGAAGTCGTTATTTATATATATTTTTATGTATTACAGATATGATGCCATCATTTATCATTTCCCCGCCTTAAACATCATTATACGGAGAGAAAAACCATATAAAAGTACGAAGTACGAAGTAAACGAGCAATATTTCATTTTTATGTACTTTTTTGTGTTTTTTTTTCATTTTATTTAATTTAGATATTATATTTGGTATTGTAAAAGAGAAGATAGGTAAGCAATGATGAATAGTCATAACTAAGCTTCAATCTTGTAGGCTTACTGGCAAGAAAAATTGTTCAAAATTTCAAAAAAAAAAAATATTATAATACGATTTTTTCAACTTGGTCGATCTTTGGTCAACTTTCCAGAGAAAAAAATAATCTAAGCCAGTCACGAATCTACTTGAACGCATATTACAATTTTCATAAAATTGGATTAAAGTTATTAAAGTTTTTAAATAGGTCAGGCCTAAGTTCACTTTTTTCGTATAGGTCCACTTCCCGGAAGAAAAAGCAGTGTTCGAATATTTAAGCAAGAAGTTGGCTCTAAACCAAATTTCAAGCAAACTGAACTGAAAATATGACGTTTTTGAACAGGATCGATTCTCAGGAATAAAGTTCATCAAATCCATTTGAACACATCCTTTAAATTTTATTAAAATCGAACCAACCGTTTAGAAGGAGTTCAATGACATCCAAGCACACAGAAGATTTTTAAATATAAAGATAAATACTTACACGTATGTATAAACTAAAAGTGAACAAGTATTTTTTTTTAGTTATATAATCGAGAGAGAGATAGGCATACATATGTATCTATATTAGATTCTGCGACAATTAACGTTGTTATACCATCTTGGGTACAAGGGCTTAAGCACGTGAATGTAATAATGTATCCGAGGAATTGACTCACCCAGCAGTTGAGCAGTTAAATCTAAAATCTAACCTAAAAACAAACATTAACCCACGTAATTTTTTCCTACAGGTCTTTTAATGTATAGATGCGTATCTATGTAAGTATTTGAGGACATCAGAGGTCTGAGCATTATTACGGCCAAAGGGTATGAAATACATCTCTTCTGCGTTTTTGTATGTATGTATGTTTGGCATGTGTATGTGTATGATTAATTCGTTAATTAATGAATGACCATTTGCGTTGGACACTTTTACTTAACATCACCTATGCGAAACGACGTTTTGCACTCTAACAAGCAACTTATAAGTACAAGAAATTATCGATATTAACGAGTACATTCGTGTATACATACTAATTGTGGTAAGTATCACGCAATAATGGATAATTACTAATGCTTTTGAGAGCTAAGTTAATATTTACTATAACAAACATTTTCTACCCGACATCAAGCAAAATTTTAATTTTTCTGGTTTGAAAGTTTGTATGTTTTGAAACAATCGGAATGTGGATTGTCTTTTGTTAAGGCCTCCAAAAAAACATGTTTTTTTCAAACAAATATATTTATTTAAAAAAAAATTTAGGAATCAAAGTTTTTATAGATAAGTAGACGTATAAAAATATTAATTCAAATAATTTTTTTTTTTATGGTGACTCTTAAAATTGCCACTGAAACACGCTCCTTCTGTTGGTGAGTGATACGATAACTGTAAAAGGAATCATCGGAATGTAAAAATGCTAACGGTTTCTTATTCTGTATCATATTGGCTATGGCCGGAACTCCAATAAAACATTTTCACACCAAAAAGGGTGGACGCATTTATTTATACATATTTTTTAAATAACAATGAATATTGTTGGTTGTAGTACCGACCATAGAGATACATTTTAGAAGTAAAATGCCATTTAGTTCATGTTGATAAATTCAATACAATTTACAGGAAAAACACATTGCGATTTTTTGAAAATGAAAGATTGCTACAATTTTTGGAAAAGAGCGGTAATTATTTAACAGTTTCTATGAGAGCACATTTAGACATTATTACATAATTTGACGTAGTCATTTTTGTACCGCTGGAAATTCATTGTTTGGACTTGGATTTTGATATAAAATTTGATGATTTGAGTTTTTTTTTTCAAACTATTGACGAATGCCTACCCTTCAGCCATACGTAAAAATAATTATAGTTTAATAAAAGAAAATAAATAAATATTTAAATATCACTGGGAGCTTAGGAAGAATTTTATTTACTCAGCATTTTAACTTAACCCAGATAAGAGTTGACTTGAGCTATTGTACAATGGTCCTCATTCGGTGGGATGACAGACCTTTTCAGAACGAGAAGGACATTTTGTTACCGAAGACCTGAAAAGACTGGGTCTGTGGACACTATTCATATAAAATGGCACCATTCCTACATGACTATTTCGTTGACTATCAGACTGTCGTTTGAAGAAGTATGTCGGCATACTTCTATAAAAGAGTACCAGGAAGCATCAAAGAGGAAAGAAAAAGAAAATAGCTATCAATGAGAGTAATGCGAAAATATGTAACTATAATATATAGTGTGCGTGTTGTTGTTTTTCCAAAAAAAGGAGAGACCTACAGCTTATACTAAGCCACCTCCGAACGACTAATTGCTGTTTATGAGGAATTTTAATTTCGTGTCAAAAAAAAGACACACGGAGGTGTGGAACTTCCCTGCCGAAGTGCGATCGTAATTAGAAAAATTAACTTAACTCTTTATTTAAATATATTTTCTATAACTTGTGATGTCGGAAGTACGCAATGAAAATTACTCGGCTACGGTAACCGCCAAGGCGAAATAACTCTTTCATAATAAGTAGAAGATATTTTAATTTATTTAGGAACCAGCTTTAATCCGCTTCAGTATGGCTTGGCCAAATCTTGGAAAGAGCTTGGACATACAAATGAGCTGCCTCTATGCTGCTGTGCCTGAATTCAAATAGCGGCAAAACTTTTACAGCTGTGTAAAATGACGGTGAACAATGAAGTTACTTGTTGACCTAAACGTGGTTAGGTCGCCGAAAGGGCACCTAATAGAAGTTGAACCTCCACCTAGGCACATCAGAAAGGCAGTACTAGACCTAAAGGACACAATCCAGCAAAATGTACAACAACCGCTGGACAGGACGGCGTACCGACAATCACTGAACGCCATTCACCAGGAGTCAGTCAACACCTTCAAGGACTCGCTTCCAGTGAATGGCGTACTCGGAGAAATACCACCACCTTTAGCAGACAACGAGCCCGAGCTGCCTCGAGAGACCCGCGTGACCCTGACACAACTCAGGTCTGGATATTGTAGCAGGTTAAACTCCTACTTATCCAGACTAGACCCCAGCATATCCAAAGTATGCCCTGCATGCATTTTATAGCCTCCTAATTTTAGTATATTATCATGAACGGATTTTCGGTATACTTAACGTCTCCCCAATCTCACGCTCAACTACATAACGATCCAATTCGATTAACGCCGTGATATCGTCATCATCCACTTCACTTGGCGGACCATTAACCTCTTCATTTTGGTGTTGGTGCTAGTTGGAAATACCAAGAGAAACCAGGTCGCTCTCCACTTGATCCTTTCAACGGAGCGGAGATCTTTCTCTTCCTCTGCTTTCACCAGCGGGTACTGCATCGAATACCTAAAAAGCTGGAGTGTTTGCATACATTCGGACGACATGACCTAGCCGCTGTCTCTTCATTCGCTGAACTATATCAATGTCACGGTACTCAACTCGCACAGCTCATCGTTCCATCGTCGTTCGTAAAACTTTTCTCTGGAATACTCCCAGGGCCGACTTATCAAATGCTGACATCGTACACGCTTCTGCGCCATATAACAGGACGGGTATGATGAACGAATCGTAGAGTTTGGTTTTTTTTACGCTTTACTTTTCAATTGCCTACTCAGTCCAAAGTAGCATCTCTTATCAAGGGTGATTTTGCGTTGGATTTCAAGGCTGACATAATTATTTGTGTTTTTGCTGGTGCCTAGATAGACGTAGTAATGACTGTCTACAGTGATGTGGGATCGAAGTCACGAATGAAATGACTGCCTATTTTTATGACAGGAGATATTTCGTTATTTTCTCATTCGCTTCGCTTTTTTATCAGCTCTGGAGAGAGCGCGGTGGTTAAGGCCAATGATATCAATATCAACGGCATACGCCAGTAGTTGTATACTCCGACATTGAATTGAAGAAATCACACAATAAAGAGTCAACCTGACGGAAACCTCGGAGAGGTCTTTCTCAATTTGGATTGGCGCTTCTGGTGTTGCCTAGCGTCAGTTTGCAAAGCCGAATAAGTTTTGCGGGGATACCAAATTCGGACATAGCGGTGTAGAGCTAGCTGCTTTGAAATGGACGAAGAGGTGGTGAGTGTCGATCCTCTTTTCACGGGTCTTTTCCAAGATTTGGCGCTTGCTGAATATCTGGCCAATGGTTAACTTACGAGGTCTTAAGTCGCACTGATAAGATCCGATCAGTTTTTTAACGGTTGCCTTTAGTTTTTCACACAATACCACAAAACGCTCAATAGGATCTTCTGTGCGTTTTATAACCGCTGAAGCGATTTTCGGTCGAGTTTTTACTCAAATTTGTGATATACGTCTTGATGTTTTCTAAGAAGTGGAGAGATCTACAGTTTGTTTTAAGGAACTTCTTAACTCATGTGAGAAATACACTCAAACGAACCCTGCCTACGGGGTGACAGAAATTAGAATAATTCATTTTTTATAACTTTTGATGTTGGGCAAACCAGGATTCCAACCTTGGGTTTCAGAATGGCAGTATGCAATGCTAGCACTCGGCTATTGTGCCGTTAGTTCTACAAAAATATCCTGACTATGCAAGAAATCGTGGACAAGACGAAATATCTCCCGTCAATAGAGAAATAGTATGTCCACCGTCTTAAACATTTGGAGGTATATTTCGTCCATTTAGGAACCAGCATTAATACCAATAAGGCAGAATCGAAATCCGTCGAAGATTATCTCTTGTCGATAGTCGATATTTTGGCCAGTGTTGAGTATTGAAAAGAAGCCCAAAGTCTATAAATCGCTCATCAACCATTTCTTATTTTATCGCGCAGAAGTGGGGACGATGACGAAGTCGGATGCGTTGGCACTGGCCATAAAATTGACACAGTTCAACGAATACTGAAAGATAAAAACATTCCAGTTTTTACATATTTCACGCAGCACTCGTTGGTGGAAACAAAGGGATTTAGTTCCGTTTTATGTGTTGTACTTACTTTTTTATATATGTATATACATGCATATTTAATAAATATATTTATGCATTTAGAAATGAAACAATCACTTTAATGTTCTGCGTCAGTTTTATTTTGGATTCGTTTTTATTATTGCTGTTTTTAGTAGCTTTACTCTTTAATATAAATCACTGCTAAATGCAATTAACCGCAAAGTATCTGATAAACACACTTCATTTATATGTAAATATAATATAATATACGTAGAGTATGTAAATAATATGTAATATAAAAATATTATAATAAAATAGTTTCTGAACATTATTTAATACGCTTTACATATGTTTGCATGTGAGGATGAGTATGTATGTATGAGTTAGTCTTGTATTTCCAGATAAATTTTAATAGCTTCAATTGACGTTGAGCTATTGTTGTTGTAAATGCATGTACCTCAATGACTGGTCAGTCGAGCGGACTTTAACTGGAGGGCATTTAAAAATGTCTATATGTGCATTTATTATTGAACATTTGTATGTATGTGGAAAGAA